ATGAGGGTGGGCCCTAATCCGGTATGACTGGTGTTCTTAAGAGGAAGTTTGGACACAGACAGGCATAGAGGGAGAACACTGCGTGAACATGAAGACCGCCATCTGCAAGCCAAGGACGGAGACCTCAGAAGACAGCAACCCTGCTGGCACTTTGATCTCGGACTTTCAGCTTCTAGAACTGGGGGAAAACACATTGTTGTGTAAGCCACCCAGTGTGCGGTGCTGGTCATGGCAGCCCCAGCAGACTGATACAGGGGCAGAAGATGAGCAGAGAGTGGTGTCCCGGAGGACAAGGGAAGAGAACGCTTCAAGTCAGACAGGGTGTCCACATACTTATCAGGCGCTGAGAGCTGAAGGAAGATGACGACCAAGGTGTGTCTCTTAAAAGGACCTGGAGAGAATGATCTCAGTGGAGCGTGGTCGGGGCAAAAGCCAGATCTCCGTGGGTTAAGTTAGCCGGACTCTCACTGACTGCCAGTGTAGCTAATTCCTTACAGAAGTCTGGTTGTGAGTTGGGCAGAGAAACATGACGTGGCTGCAGCATGACATGCGGCAAAGGGAGGGCTTTAGAACGGAGACTCCTGGGCACGTTGAAACTGATGCACAAGAGTGAAAGGGACCGTAAAGGCGGGAAAGCGGAAGCACCACCCAGGAGCGAGGAGGGCCTTCCCTGGCCAGAAGGAGGGAAGGGTCTTGGGTGACGACAGGAGGCAAATGGAGAGAATGGGCTGGATGCAGGCGGTGTGGGTCCGGGGGTGGGAAGCCCGGTAAGAGGCTAGGGCTCCCGGGCCCCTCAAGATCCACCCCGCAACCTTCTCCACCCACTGCCTTCTCAGCTTCTGGGTAACTGCTCCCGCCCTTGGCCTCTTCAGGCCTAAGGGCCATGTGGATTCCCCATGGTTGCCAGCCTTGGGCTACTGCAACTTCTCTTGGTTTTTCAGAATTTGTCAATTGTACCTTTATTCAACTCTCCTCAAAGCGCTCCATTTGAAGAGACCCTCTCTTTCCACCAGGCCCCTGACTGACATGAAGGCGTTCCTTTTTAACACTTCTTTTTCCCCTCTGAAGGTGGAAGTGAGGCCCTCTGCCAAGGGTAAGGGAGGAGAGAGGTTTGGGGGAGAAGCTTAGGGGGAGGATGGAGACACCTGTGGAGAACGGGAGTGGGCTTATTCGCAGGGTGAGACCTCAGCTGAGGCTGGGACCTCGGACTTCGAGGGGTGCCGTCCAGAGCGCTTGCCTGATATCCTCAGACTCAGCTGCAAGGGCAGATGGGAAAACAGGCCCAAGCAAGTCTGTGATTCTGCCAGGCAGGTGCAACTAGGGGACAGGGACAGGGTGATGTCAGGGAGATAACAGAGGAGCACGAGAGGTCAAAGCATGGATGTAGAGGGAGTGTGAATGCGAGTGCAGGACGTGCGGTCGGAGAGGAAAGGACATCTGAACGTGTGATTTGAAAGAAGGCACAGTTCTGGGTCCTGATACCTCCTGGGGGTGGGTGGTGATGAGGAAAGAAGGGGATGAGAGGCTGAGGTGCTGGTGGGTTGTCCGCGTGGACCCCCAGGCCGTGGGGAGACAGAAGGACCAGGAGCTGGTAGCCACAGTTTTAGACAAATGAGGGGGCTGACCAGGACATGCAGCCACACACCCACACACACCCACACGGTCACACTCACATACGCACGCCCACAGCCCTCCCAGACACTCCCAGACACCCTCACATGCACTCACCCTCACACACACCCCAGACAGCAGATGGGGTGCTCGGGTAATTGGTTAAACCTGTTCCCGATGTCTGGCTCCGCACTGGCAGCGCCTGTCTGGCAGGAAAGCTGGCTGGGCCTGCACCGCTCAGCCTGCGGGCCTCCCTGCCCCTCCCGCTGTGCGGCTGCCCCCCGGGGCCAGGGGCTCCAGGGAGCCCCGAGGGCCGGCCTGGCTCCCTCCGGGACAGAACCCAGGTCACGAGGAGGGAGGGCTCCATGAAGCACCCCAGGAAGCAGTCATAGAACCGGTGAGGAGGCGCTGGTGTAAACCAAGTGCAGGGATGCCAAGGGCGGGAGCCATGCTGCTGCGGAGGCCAGAGGGACTGACCCCGAAGAGCTCCGCGGACAACTGGATGAGTAAAGACCATGCCCTGAAGGTGAGGCACGCAGCTTGGGCCACCAGAGTTGAGGACAGCTCCCTGCGTTCCCTCCACATCAGCCACCCGCAACCTGGGGTTCTCACAGGTGCTCCGTAGTCACTCAGCCCATGGGACTCTGCCGGGCCCGGGGGCGGGGGGCCAGCCCAAATGAGGGGACGTGACGGAGTCGGGCCGGCCCAGGGAAGATCTGCTGAGCAGCCCGTCCACCGTCCTCACCTCTGCAGGGCTTGATCTCCAGGGGGAGGGGCGCTCGGGGGAGGGAGGGGAGCACCATTCCTCAGCTTCCTCTCCCCTTCCCGTCTGCATCTGTGTCTCTTCGAGAGAGACTTTGGTTTGTTCCCTGGAGAGGGCCCAAAATCTCCCAAATTAGCAAACCTGGCAAGCCCGCAGCTCAGAAAATAGTTCATCCTGATTCCATGTTTTTCAGGCTCACAGAAGCCTTTATTAATGAAGTCACAACACCAATATTTACTGTCTGCGGGGAGAGGCACAACATGGGGGCACGGATGGGAGTGCGACGGGGACTCCCGCCCCGCCCCTTGCGGGCCCGGCCTAGGAAGATTGGCAGGTTTCCTTGGGTCCTTTCCAGCCCTTTATCTGGATGACAGGGGTGCTCTGCTGTGATCTTCCTGCACCTCCCCCTCCACTGAGTGAGAGAATCTGGAGTGTACGCATTCCTCTGCCCCCCGTTGGTGCCAAAAAGATGCCACCTCTTCTTACCGTCACCCCACCGGTGCGTACACGCTCCCCAGAGGTTATCCCCCACGCCTGGCAGTGAGAGTCCACCGTGAGGTTCAACTTGGACTTACCAAAGTTGGGACTTTCAAGATGTGAGGGATGCGTTTTCCTGGTTGATGGCCCGGTGGCGGGGGTGGGGGCGGGTTGGGATGGGGTTCAGCCCTTTGGTTTCTAGCCTTGACTGGGCCCAGGAGAGACACTGACAGCCCCAGCAGCAGGACCTTCTGTGCTTGGATCCCTGTGTGTGCCCCCAGGCAACAAGGCTGGGCCTTT